AGTTTCCAGCACAGTGTATTGGCCTGGGCTCCAGTTAAGAGTGTGTGTCAGCGAGTGTTTGGTGTGTTAAGCAGAACTGTGTACTGTTTCACCACCGCTGCAGCACTTCAGGTACCTCTGCCTATGAGCATGCGCTATAGTTTTCACATTAGTATGCTACATCGTTGTCACGTGACCTCATTATATTGTATATTTAGTTCCACAATAATAACGTCAGAAATAAATGCTTATTTTATTTGAGCGATCTATTATTTTCAATCTTTTGGATGCCACAGACTCTCAAATATAACCATATTCCCTAACATGTAAAAGGCAACTATATATTTTCATGTACAAAGACTCCATTAACAGTAAAACATTTGACATTTTAAATCAAATATATATGTTTATATATTCTAATACAATTGCGTTCGTTGGTTTAATATTATTATTTTATTTTTATTCAAACACACTAACCCTGTAATTTCGGAATCATCTTAATACTGAATTACCTGTGTAATGAGTGTAATAATGATGTTGTGGTGTGTGTAGCTGCTGATGCAGTTCTGGCAGCCGGTCACCGGCGCCCCCTGTCTGTGGTCAGTGCGCAGTGCACCCTGGGATATCTGGTTCCCGCTCCTCTGCTTCGTCATACACTTCTTGTGCTGGGCCGTAATCTGCAGCATCCTCCTCATCTTCGACTATCCCGAGCTGATGGGGCTCAAACAGGTACATCTGCATCTACAACAACTATACACTCTATTTATTAGATATTTTACTAGATCTTGCCTGTAAATCATGCAAATCTCATCTTCTATTTCTGATGAGCCTCACTGTAAAGTGTTACCATTGTTCATGCATTGCATTATATGTTTTAAAAGTACAGAGATTTGATCATAAAACTACACATTTAAATGATAAATCCAACATTATTGGCAGATATTGATATTTATATGCATTTTATGTCAGTATCTGCTATACTCATTATGAAGATCTCATTGAGTTTGAGCCTCTGAATAAATCCAAGCTGTTTTCTTCTCCATATTCTCACTATATATGAGCCAAAAAACCCGGATGTTTCAAATATGATTCATCTTCACCTGTCAAAAGTCATTGTATGTGTGTGTGTCAGGTGTATTACGAGTGTCTGGGTCTGGGCGACCCGCTGCTGCTGAAGTCTGAGCGAGCGCAGCGCCTGTACTCTCACCTCAGACACCCGGTGTGTGTGGAGCTGCTGACGGTGCTGTGGCTCCTGCCGTCGCTGCCGCTGGACCGGCTGGTGTTAGCGCTGTTCCTGTCGCTGTATCTGGCGCTCGCGCACTCGCTGGACGCGCAGGACTGTGTGTACCTGCGCCGGCAGCTCAAGAGCAAACTGCAGATCTTCTCCACGCCACTAGAGGGCAGCGAGCGCAGCGCCAGCCACACACACAAGACTCAGTGAGGAGCGGAGCACACGAACGAAATATTACTCCAGTGAATATACAGTAATTTGTCTTTTATTCCTGAATTTATCATCACTGGAGGTCTTCAGTGTCACATGATCCTCCAGAAATCACTCTAATATGAGGATCTGATGATCAAGACACATTTATGATTATTATCAGTGTTGTTTTTTTTTTTACTTTTTTATTCCAGGATAAAGTTCAGAAGAACAGCTCTTCTCCACGCCACTAGGGGACAGCGATCACTGCATCAGCCAAACACAAGTTATGTGTTCTTTAAATAACAATAACGATACAGAGTCGTACAAAGCACTTAAATCTAAAAAAAAATTAAGTATGTATCAAAAATCAATCATACATCTAATAGCATCCTTTCACCAGCCGAGTACCAGTGTTTGAGTCAGCGGAAAATAGTCTACCGTTTTTATAGTTAAAGGAGTAGTTCACTTTAAAAAACTTTTGCTGATAATTTACTCGCCCCCGTGTCATCCAAGATGTCCATGTCTTTCTTTCTTCAGTCAAAAAGAAATTAAGGTTTTTGATGAAAACATTCCAGGATTTTCTCCATATAATGGACTTCAATGGGGACCAAACGGTTCAAGGTCCAAATGAGAGTTTCAGTGCAAACTGTTCAAAGGGGTTTAAACGATTGCGCGTTCTGTTCAAATTCGTTTATCAAAATGAACAAATCTTTTTTCGAGTCATTTGGTTCATTCAATGAACGAATTGACTCGGAAAAAAGATACGTTCATTTTGATAAACGAGTTCGAACAGGAGAGTCACGAACAGAGCAAGGCGCGCATTTGAGCTTATAAAACTTAAACTTTGTTATTTATTTATTAAATGAGCGATCGCTTCACTTGATAAGACCCTTATTCATCGTTTGGAATCGTTTAAAGCCCTTTGAACAGTTTGTAGTTTGGACTGAAACTCTCATTTGGTCCCCATTGAAGTCCATTATATGGAGAAAATCCTGGAATGTTTTCATCAAAATCCTTAATTTCATTTCAACTGAAGAAAGAAAGACATGGACATCTTGGATGACACGGGGGTGAGTAAATTATCAGCAATTTTTTTTTAAAGTGAACTACTCCTTTAACACACTTTGCTTTATATACAGTCACACCAAAAACTATTCCGACACCAGATATCATTTTTGATATTTTCTACTAGTGTGATCAGGACACTATAGTTAATTTATATAAGTAACATTTACACACATTTGGGACTAATATTTGAGCTGATGATGTTCTGCTGAAGTGTGTTTTCTGTAAGTGCTACACACACACACACTGAACAACATTCGCATTGCTTGGTCACTGGTTGAGCTAAACTGGTATGATCTAATTGTGGAGTTAAATTGAACAGCTGACAGATATTTAATATAATTCATGTGTGATGTCATGTGAGAAATGTTGAAGGTGCCTGAATATACAGTACATGATATTTTTTATAGGATTTTAGTTATATTATCCATTTCCAATAAACCGGAATCACAATCCATAAACGAGACCATTATATATAGTGACACACTTGTAAAACATCTTAAAAAAAGAAACGGAAAATAATTTGCCATAATTAATTACAACTAAAATAAAAGTAAGTTTATTTCTGTTTCCTATAATTAATCATTAATAATAATTTATATAGCGTTCATCTTTAAAGCGTGTAAGAGAGTCACGCTGCCTTCTGAAGTCATGTCTCTCGTCCTGGGGTTTACCTCATGCATATTTAAAGATGATCTGTGATGTCATCAGAGGTCCCGCCACTGCTAATTCTGACCTCTGGTGGCGTGATGCGACTTGAAGGCAAGCAAAGATATGTTTGGGAGACGTAATGCACGATATAAACTGTCCAAACATGAGTGAGAAACGTTATCTGCATACATCAATATACATTTCAAACAGCTTTCTGCTGCACTCATCATCATATGAGCTCATTACAGTATGCATGTTTAATTCTCACCTGTTGTCCAGTTATAGATGTGAAAATAAGTGATGTTATTGTGCATTTCTGTGTAGTTTGTGTCCCTAAACCTCTCTGGCAGTATTTATAGCCCTCATCCGTCATGCTCATTATTTTCTACACTTTTAAACTGCTAACTTAAAGCTTACAAGGTCATCAAAATAGCGTTTAAAAAGGAGTCAAATCCTTTTTAGATAAAAGAAATCAAATTCTATTTGTAGTCAGCGGAAGAGGAGCTGATGTGTTTCGGCTTCGGATGAGGTTCACAGGTCAAAGGTCATCAGTTAAATATCTCTTTTCAGCCCTGGTGTGACATTAAGAGAGAGACACACACAGACACATCCAATATCATTGTGGAGAAAATGACATTGGATGGTTTACTTTTGGCCAGTAGTGTAACGTTTCAGCTTTTATGAGGACTTTTGTTTTGTATTTACTGCTTGTTTTTATATAATACTTTTATTTCTTTACAAATGTTTCAGATGTCTGCTGGTGTCAGGATAAAAACTGTGTTTCACACCAATAAGTGTCATAACCACTGGAAATCATGAAATGTCTGATGCTTGAAGTGTGTTTATATGATGATTAGTTGGTGGAGAATGTATTTTTACATGGTCAAAAAACATGAAAATATTTTTGTAGAAACTAAAGACATGAAAGCATCTGCACTATTATAAGACCTGAAAACCTCCTTAAGTTTATTTGCCGTGTGTTTTTAGAGTTTATCGCACCACGTCTGCCTCTATTAGATCAGATCGTTCTGAATAAAGACAATTTTGCAGCAAATTATGTGTTTTTCTCTTGTAGCTGAATTATTTAGCAATATGTTAAAAACATGTTTGCTTATTATACAGGTTTAAGGAACTGGTTAAATATATAAAAAATATAAAAGTTCTTTGACGTAACAATAGCAGAACTCGTTCCATAAGGAATCATGCAGTGAGGGTTCTATTTAGAACGGTAATGTAGCTATTAAACAAAACATGTTTAATATTAGTGATGTTTTTATCGTTCTGATTTCACTTTATAACCCTTTTATGGGTTTGCATAAAGAAAATCTGACAGGAAAACTTTTTTTATTTACATGAGTGATTCAAAAGTGCCTACTACTTCGTACGACCTCACACGTAGGAATTCGTACGATTTGTCTAAACCCACGTGACGGTTATGTAGGTCGTAATTCATACGAATTGGCTAAATTGTACTAATTCGTACGAGTGAGGTCGTACGAATTGTTACGACTTAGCCACCTCGTAAAATTCGTACGAATTCCCGTGAGATCGGGTTGGAGAAACTAGCAAAAATGACAACTAGTTGACGTCACGTGACCTACTCTGTTCTTCAGGTTCAACTAATATTAGTAAAACAAATATTCCTTATTGTGTGTGTTTTTTTAAATTAATATTTATAAACATTAATTTAAAAAAAAAACTTTCTAGTTATAATGAACATTTTTGATAAATAAAATTGTTGGGTTTTTTATTTAAAAAATGTACATTACTGGGACTAAAAAGTAGCTATGTGATTATTATGTAATGTATAATTAAGAGCCTAATTAAGGGGAGTTTTTGAACTTTGACTGTTATCTAAGAGCTGGGGTTAATTCCCGTGCCGCCGTCACTCTCCCGTTAACGGCTCGCTCACACACACACACACACGAGGAGATGGAGAACAGATGCGTGTTTTCTCCGGCAATATGGCGCGTGTGCCTGTGATTCTCCTGCTGGAGTTTAATGTAATTATGGGATTACTCTTCCACTCCTGCGCCGCTAAAGCCGCCCGTGTTTACGACACTGCCGCTCCGCTCCGCGGGACTCACACACGGCTCGGGGAACCGGGAATATGAGCTAACTGGAGCTTTAACTGGGGCTTTATTGCTTGTTGCGTGTTAGACAGGTCGAGGTCGCAGCTTCACTTTCGCAGAGAGTGGATGAATTATCAGGACTTTTGATGGTTTCTTTGGAGTTATATTCATGGGAAGATGAACGTCGAGCGAGTGGAAACGAGGAAAACTTAGTTTATTCCGGTGAATCAGGACTTCAGTCATCCCACAAAATAAGGTATGTAAAAATAATTACTTAAACGGGATTATTGTGTATTAAATAGATAAGTATGTCAAAATAAAAATTAATTATAGGCATTTCAGTTGATATAATGGCAGAATAATTGTTTTTCCATGCAACAAATCATAATTTGAGTAGTTGACATGAAAAACGACAAGCATACAATATTATGTTATCTATGCATGCTAAGTAATATTTTTCATGTTTAAATTTCTGATTGGTGTTTTTGTGTAAACATTGTTTTGCTGTCTTGTTTTTTTTAGATACTTATCCTGCTGTAAAGCACAAACTACTGAATTAAATTTGATTTGATATTTGGACTGAACCTGCAAAAAAGTGAATTGCAAAAACAAAATAGTGAGCAGTCACAGCACCTAAAATAAGCTTCTTCTCTTATCAATTAGGATTAATATTTTATATCTAAAATCAGAATAAAAACAATAAAATATTGTTATGCAGTATAAAAATGAATAATCATATGTTTGTACTGAAAGATGCACATGTCTCTCTATACTTGACTTGAATTTAAAGGTATAGTTCACCCAAAATTTAAATTTACTCACCCTCAAGTTGTTAAAATAAATAACATGATTAAATGATGAAAGAATTTTAATTTTTGGTCAAACTATCCCTTTAATAGGATACTGGCAATATAAGATGGTTCATCTGGCAAAGTGCATGACATCTCCATTTTAGACAAACCTAAAGTGTTTATTTATTTGACAGGATTCCTGGATGTTCCTGGAAATTCTCTGATCAGTAACACCGCACTGTTTCAAGTACCGCGTGGTTATGTCTCTGTCGGCTCTACCGGAATGGAAGCAGCTTCTGCTGGAGAGAAAGCGAAGAGAGGAGGAGGAGAGAGAGAGACGAGAGAGGGAAGAAGAGGAGCGGATGGCCAGCATGCCGGCCTGGAAGCGAGGGATCATCCAGAGAAGGAGAGCGAAACAAGACGAGGAGCGAGAGAGAGAGAAAGACGGAGGACAGAATTCTCCGGATGTCTTGGGAATCTCGGAAGACGTCGTCACAGAGCAAACGGATAGTAAACTCACACATCACCTTCAGACCGAAGTGCAAAAACAGATATCCAAAAAAGAAACCATCAGCCCCATCCAACAGAACCCCTTCATTCGCTCCGAGAACAGCTTTCGGAGAGATAACAGAGGGAAGGAGGTGATTAGAGATGGAGAGAATGAGTGCGGAAGAGAAAGGAATAGGGAAACTGAGATTTGGAGAGGACGGGATAGAGAGATGTGGTTTGAGAAGACGGGAAATAAAAGCGAGGGACGAGAGCGAGATCGAAGCACTGGGAGAGAAACCAGAGACGTGGAAATCAGCAAATCCCAATTTTCTCAGGTCGTAGGTCTCCGCACGATCCAGGCAAACAACATTATCATCATCGAAAGAGACAAACATGGTAAGGAAAAACCGGATAGGATGAATAAGGAGGTGGAGGAGGAAGAAAAGAGGATGCGGATGGATTTGAGAGAGTTTCTGGCTTGCGGAGGAAGCGTGACGGAGATTAGGGCGTCGGAGGTATTGATCATCAAGCCATCCGTGATCGACGGGAAAAGAGAAACAGAGATTGCTGGGATGCCGGAAAGAGGGAGCGGTGAGGAACGTTTAGAGAGAGAAGGGATTTGGAGATCGATGCGCTTGACGTCGAGGACTGTCATGCAAAGAGCGGAGATATTTCCGAACCACAAGGATAAGGCGACTCAAGAATGTAGTGGACGGGTTAGTTTGCTGCTCAGTAAGTTTGGGGAACATCCCAAACCTCCGATGCGCTCCAAGAGCACGGATTGCTTCAACCGACCGGGAAAGAATCGGGATAGATACAGCACTGGGGACCTGTTTGTGCCGGAGGATCAGAGCACGGAAACGAGTCCGACGTCTAGGGGTGTTCCCAAACGCTCCTTCAGCTTCTCCGACCGTGTGGTTTCCCAACAGGAGAACCGTGAGGGAAAGACAGACGTTAAGAAGATGGAAAGGACGTATTCTGATCGCAGGGTCAAGACACGGGTAACGGGCGCGGACCCATCGGAGAATCAATCGAGGTTCACCAGGAGATGGGGCCGACCCAAACATGACGAGCCGATGCTTGAAAAGAGACAAAAAGAACGAAGAGTTGAAAATAAGAATGATTTTACATGTGGAGATACAGAGGAACAGGCTTCAAGTGTGGATGGAGAAGAGGGATTCACTCGGGTCTCCGTTAAAAACCAAGAGGGGGTCACATTCGCTCGACGAGTTCCCATCAAACAAGATGGGAGGGAGAGCAGCTCGGGAATAGAGATCAAGAGAGTGAGGGAGGAGAATGAGAAAGAAAGTAAACAGAGAGAGGTGATGGAAAGTCAGACACTCATAGAAGTCAAAACGGAGGCAAAAACAGAATCCGATCAGGATGAGGAAACCGTCGGAGCTTCAACGCAATCCCATGGTGCAAGTATCCCATCCTCAGATAACGGTACTATCGATTTCTCTGCAGGAATTTGTTGCAAATGCGTCAACACTCCCTTTGAAGATCCCAGTTGCCCATCTAAGGCCTACGCCGGACAAACTTGCCAAGAAAAAGCCCTATCAGACGGAGAACTCAAGAGGGCAGGGGATGTGTTTCCAGACAAGATATCTTCCGAAATGAGTACACAGGATCAAAAAGAGCACCAGAACTTTCCAAAACGAGCCACAGAGGAGATCAGTTTGACCTCACAGCAATCTTTTACACAGGGACTGAGCAAACTCTGCACCCAAGAGGGAGTCGCCATCCCCAGGACTGTGTTTTATGGGGTCGATATATTAGCAGAAAGGAGAGCGAGTCTCCCTGTCGGGGATGGACAACTGGAGAGGAGAGGGAGCTGGAAGGCAGGTCGACCTTTGACACGAGTCGAGTCCTTAAAAGAGAGAATTCGTCAACAAGAGAAGGAAATGCAGAAAGGCAGGGAAGCTGATAAAGAAGGGGGCAACAGAGAACAGGAAGAAAACACACTACAGTCTGTCAGACCGTTTGACGTCACACAGGACGCTAGCATGGCAAAGTCAAGCCCTCAACTTCCTCTTCCTGTTTCTCAGTCGCTCTTGCAGAAGTCAGACTCGACAGAAAGAGAAGTTGGGGAGATCTCTATCCGAGACGCTTTCGAGAGCGAGAACACGGAGAGAGGGACCGAACGCCATGTAGAGATCGCTTGTAGAGCACAAGACGAGACAAAAGAGAGAGAGGACGAGCTGTTAGAGGAAGAGTATCTCCCTCCCTCTCTCTCTCCCTCCCCAACACTCTCGGACTCGTTAGACGCCATGAGCCGGATATATAACCTCAAGACTGTTGGGTCCAGGACTGCAGTGTGTATCAGTGAACGATCGGCGGATTTGCCCCCACATAGTGGACCTCAAGGTAAATACAACCCTATTAGACAAGTGCCGTCACCGGATGTCCTACCAGAAACGGTAAAACTGTGGAATCATGGGAGGGACGGTGAGAAACCTGAGACGATTGAGTCGACAGGTGTTCAGATGGTACAGCGTCTACAGCTGAGGGAACCGGAAGCCGGATGTGGTTCCCAAAACGACAGAAAGGTACAGACCAGAATGGAGAATAGCCGTATTAAAGAACCGGAGGTCCAGGAAGCCAAAAGACCAGACATCTTAAGGGAAACACAAGCGTCAACAAGTCCTAGATTCCCAAAAGCCCAACAGAAAGTACCTCCTAAACAAACGTCATTCACAATCAACGCCCGCAACTCCGAATCAACAACCAAACCCCCAGAACCGTGCACCCCGTCCCCTTCTACAACCCCGTCTCCACCTCTCTTCTCCATCAGAAGCGCCTCAGGTGGACCTGGCAAAAGAGGGACGACCATCACAATCACCCCTAGAAGACCTGCAGGGATATCAACGCCTAGTAGCGTCCCAACAGGGACTCCCAAAGCGGCGCCACCGGCCAACATTCCCACGCCCGCTCCCAGCAACACCAGGGAAACGGGGAAGAAGAGGTTTCCCACAGCAGAGGAGATCGAAGTGATCGGAGGGTACCAGAACCTCGAGCGCTCCTGCTTGGCGAAGAGCAAAGCGGCCACCAAAGCGGTGAGTGTTTCTTGTGTTTACGCGTGACATTCACAACGAGATGCTGCGCTCATAATATCAAGAGCATGCAACTTAAACGTTTGGATCGGTAAGATTTTAATGTTTTTCAAATAAGTCGCGTTTGCTCACCAAGGCTGTGTTTATTTGACTAAAAATACAGTATGTGAATATACAGTAAAGTGTCATTTATTCCTGAATTTATCATCATTACTCCAGTCTTCAGTGTCACATGATCCTCCAGAAATCACTCTAATATGATGATCTGATGATCAAGAAACATTTATGATTAATATCTTTCTATTATCTAAGATAATAGATAATTAGTATAATTAGTATCTAAGATACTAATATCTTTGTATCTATCTAATTCCATTGTTTTTTATGTAAAGTGCTTTGAGATACGACTTTTAAAGGCACTATATAAAATAAAGTTTTATTATTAATATTATTATTATCAAGTAATCCTGAAAATAAATTGTACACGACTGAATGTTCCTTGATCATCACATCCTCATATTCTGGAGGGTCATGTGACACCGAAGACTGGAGTAATGATGTTGAAAATTCAGCTTTGATCACACACTGTAAAAAAAAATATTGTTGGTTTAACTTAAAAAATGAAATGACCTGGTTGCCTTAATTTTAAGTTTATTGAAATGGAAAAATTGAGTTAATACAATGAAAGTGATTGATTTAATCGTCAGAAAATCAAAACATTATGTTATCTGAACTACATTAAATATTTAAGTTGATTTGACAAAAGACAAAATGTTTTGATTACAAATCATGAAAATATTTTTTTACAGTGCAGGAATAAATTACATTTTAAAATATATTGACATAGAAAATTTATTTTAAAATGTCATAATATATATATATTTTTTATTGAGTGCCTTCTTGTCTCGTTTGGTTTTAAGTTTGTATCGCAGTTTTATATCTTATATTTATATTTATATATGTCTCTTTTATTCCTTGTAAAGCACTTTGGTCAACTTAGGTTGTGTTTTAAATGTGCTCTATAAATAAATAAATGATTGATTGATTGAATGATTGATATTTTATAATATTACTGTTTTTTTTGTTTTGTTCAAATAAACGCAGCCTTGGAGAGCAAAAGAGATTAAAAATCGTACTGATCCAAAACTTTTACACAACAGTGTACTGTATATGCAGTGAAATACTAGCGTAATGCAGTGTGTTTGTGGTTTAGTGGGATTTCTAATTTCAAAGAAACACCTGAACGCACTTAGAAAGATTCCCAAGAATGAATCAAAGTGTGATCTGTCAATAGTCAGTCCAGAAGATCTCTTTCGTCTTTGATTGTGGCGAGGCAGTTGCTCAGTGTTAATCCTGGATAAGCCTTATCTCTCACGCCATCACAGTTCACAGGTGAAGATTTAACACATTTAAACACTGCATAAAAAAGCCAAATCAGAACATGACTTCGGGAAGAAGCACCTGACTCATTCTGGAGTTGTTCAACACACCTTTAAAATTCACTTCTTGGCTTAAACAACAAACAAACAAAACAAACAAAACACCAAGGCTGGCTTTAACGTAGTCTAAGAATAGATGGAGGTTAATCTATCGCAGTCGTGCTTCTTCAGTGCCTTTAACCCTGACACTGTCCTGTCTGACCTCGACGTGTGTGAGGCGAAAATGACCCAGAGATGTAATGATTGTAATGCTGTAGACCAGTTTGATCGAACTTGACTACTAATTTTATCTATAGGATTTTAATCCACTGAATCCCAACGTAAAGCAAAAGATTATAATATGCATTACCGGTCGAAACATACGATTTTTAAATGTTTTTATTTCATAAATCAGTAATATTGTGAAATATGATTATTACACGTTAAAGTATCTGTTAAATAAAGCTGTTTTCTGCCTTAATATAATTAAATGTAATTTATTCCTGTGATCAAAGCTGAATTTATCATCATTACTCCAGTCTTCAGTGTCACATGATCCTCCAGAAATCACTCTAATATGAGGATCAAGACACATTTATGATTATTATCAGTGTTGAAAACTGAATTCTCAGGATTCTTTGATGAATAGAAAGTTCAAAAGAACAGCATTTATTTGAAATAGAATCTTTTATACCATTTAAATGTCTTTACTGTAAATTTAATGCATCCTTGCTATTTATTATTATTCCTTATGGTAGTGTTTCATAGTTTCCACAAAAAAAAAAAAAAAAAAGTTTCCAACATTGATAATAATCATAAATGTTTCTTGAGCATCAGATCCTCATATTAGAGTGATTTCTGGATAATATAATATTAATATTATAATATAAATAATAATATTTCACAATAATAACCACACACATATATTTGCTCTACATCTATATATATTTTTTTTTTTTGCAAAATAATAAACGCAAAGCTTGTTAATATATTCTGAGATTCCTTGGAAACTGTAAAATGATCCTTCTATTGCATTGTCTTCACTGTTTATACAAAAACATAGAAAGCACAACCAATGTAGTCTCTGTTCCACGAGCGAACGCATATAATGAGCCGAAACAGTCGAACGATGATGTTTACTGTGCACATCATTGCTGTCAGTCACGTCTCACTTTTATTCTCGAGTCGCAGCGGGAGGAATTAAAGCTCGTAGGGAACGCCGGACATTTATGATGGCATCTGATTCATCTGTGAGACTGACACACACACACACACACACAGGATACACTGATGAACGCTTGGCTTCCCTAAACTGTGCAGTTCCTCCGTCGAGCTGAAAAACACTGACACACACACTCTTCTGGAAACTTTCACTTCTGGAAACATATCACATCTAATATCAGCAGAGTTTGCTGTGGAGGTTGCGATGTGGGTTAATGGCCGATCTCATCAAACGAAGCGTTGTGGAGTAAGTGGGACACAGCCGACACAAAAGAGCTCAACCGAGCAGAAACGGGAACGACAGAGTCTGAATGAAAGAAAGAATGACCTCTTCTTTTAGATGGGCTTTCACACACGGAGTTAATAGAGCAGCAGTGTAACCACACACACACACACACACTAACTTCTGCCAGGAACCGGAGTGAAATATACATCAAGAGAACACAATAATGAACTGGACTCTTGAGCTAGAAGAACACAAGCGTTTATGATCACAATAATAAAACAACTGCTGTTTCAATTTTAAAGGAGAAAGCAAACATACGTCTGTTAGAAGCTAATGCTTATAAACTCTACAATAGAATACAGTAACTTCATATTTTATCATTAAAGGCCTACACTTTAAAAATGCTGGGTTGTTTTAACCCAACTTTGGGTCAAATATGGACAAACCCAAACGTTTGGTTAAAATGTAATTAAAAAATTTAACCCAATGGCTGGGTTTGTCCTTATCTGACCCATTTTTAGAGTGTACATCTACTTTATTAAACCGGGGTTCGAGAGGCGAATGCTGGAAGTTTGAGAATTACTGAAATGCAAAAAAAAAGCATTAAATCATAATAAAAATAAAAAAGTACAATAAAGAATCAAATTAAACACACTAAATAAAGAAATATTTGTTTATTTGCATGTCATGTGACCATTACCTGACGATAGAGAACCGTGAACATGCAAATGTGTTAGAAATATTGACTTAAAAATAACTACGCCAGCCGTGCACAACACCAGTACAAGTCTAACAATATCTGAGAAAATACACCATGTCTCTTGATTTAAGGGCGTTTACATATTTCTATGGAAAACTGGGCAAAAACACAACATTTAAAGCTATGACTTTCTGCTAATGTTTAAGGCCTTAGTTTGTGTAAGTGTAAACCTGTGAAAGCCCTACAGAAACCATGTCATATGCTGATTTGAAACTCAATTATTCATAACATTTCTGATTATTATCATTGTTGAAAACAGTTGCTGCTTCATTTATACATTTTGATTTTTTTTCAGGAATAGAAATTTCAAAACAGAAATTATTTGATAAAATATTTTGTGATCATATAAATTATTTTACTGTCATTTAAAAAACGAAAGGTGCTGAATACAATATATATATATATATATACACTGCTCAAAAAAATAAAGGGAACACTAAAATAACACATCATAGATCTGAATGAATTAATTAATCTTATTAAATTTTTTTTCTTATTTTTACTTTTTAAGTGTTGTTTAAGTGTTCCCTTTATTTTTTGAGCAGTATATATATATATATATATATGAAGTAGCACAACTGTTTTCATCACTGATAATAATCATAAATGTTTGTTGATCATCAGATCTTCATATTAGAGTGATTTCTGGAGGATCATGTGACACCGAAGACTGGAGTAATGATGATAAATTCAGCTTTGATCACAGGAATAAATTACACTTTACTGGATATTCACATAGAACACAGATGATTTACATTAGAATATTATTTCAGATTTTTTGCTGTATTTACTGTATGTTTGATCAAATATATGCAGCCTTGGCTAGACCTTCTCTCAAAAACATTTAAAAAATAATTAATTCGCTAAAAGTGATATTTCCCTATTCAAAACTGCACATTAAAAGCAGAGCATTGCATGAACCGCTAAACTGTACACATGCATGAAGGGGATCGCGTGTATTTTTACAAGCTCAACCCTAACTAATGTGTGTTTTATTTGTCTGCAACATTTCGGGGTTTTTAAAGCAGTCTCGTGACAAACTCTCGGCTACTTCCTCCTCATATCTTTGTCACTTCCTGTAACACACACACCCACACACACAACCAAGACCAGCCTTAGTTTTATCAGTTCATGCTAATTTCAGTTAACGCGTTATATTAGACAGCGTGTGTGTGAATGTGTCTCTGCTCCAGGAGTCATTACCCCGGTTTACACTCTGACCACATCTAACCTTCGCTCTCCCTCCTGTTCGTGCTCGCACAGTTCCCATAATGCATTGCAGCACCACCGCCGACCCCCTGCAGGTCGACTGACGTCAGTCTGTTAAGCCACGATAATGCTGCTTTCTCTCTGTATGGTGTGTGAGTGTTGTGTGTTTGCTGAGGGACTATAAAGGCGTCTTCACTGTGCCAGCTCGAAATTCAGTGCAAAGACAGAAGCCAGAGTAAATCATGCGTGTCCATGTGAGCCCTCCAGTGTAAAAGGGCAGTGTGAACGCATTTATCCCACCTTATACATCACCCTTTTCACACACACTTGTGTTTTTGTAGTTCACACGGAGACGAGAACGGGAGTGTTTTCAAAAACGTGCACTTATAAGAGTTTGCATTTTTAGGCCCATAAAATACTAAATGCCAAAACACATGAAAACGTTTCCGTATTTACACCAGTGGATCTCTGAGTGAGTGGAGGCGGGGCTCATTTGCATATTCATTGAACTGTGCATTCTAAATGAGGCGAGGGTGTCGTGTTACATTCAAGATGTTTTAAGTCATGACGTTTTTTTTTTGAAGGAAAACCCGTTTAAATAGGTTATTTTGGTGAAGGGAGATGTTTGTCCTGCTTGAAAATTCAGACATTTTTGGAAACTCTCATTTGCTTCGGGACCATTTTCACTCGTAATTTTCACGAATAATCAGTGTAATTCAACGTTGAATTAAAGTGACATTTTGAAGTAGGAAGAAATTATACGAGTTGGAATTATTATTTTCAGGTAAAATGTATTCCAATAATTTTTGTTTTATTTTCTACTTTGTACAAATACATTTTCACAGTGTATTTACACTAAAGTTTCATGGAGGATTTTGAATCAATTTCTACTCAAAACTGGCAAGAAAATGTCAAAAAATATACTATAAATCGTATTAAATAATAATTATAATGATTTTTAATCATTATATAATAATTATAAATTAACCTAAACAGATCTATATCTATCTAACTATCTGTCTGTCTATCTATCTATATATTAAAGAATTTAAAACTCTCATGTAAACACGTGTATTGTTACACCGATCTGGACTGTGTCTACACTCTCTCTCTTTCTCTCTCTCTCTGTCTCTCATTCTCGGTCTCTCTCTCTCTCTCTCGGTGCAGGTGAAGGTGAAGGTGTGTTTCGACGAGGTCCAGCTGGAGAGAGTGTGTGAGTACCCTTCAGAAGACTGTGTGTTAGCATCGCTCCCCTGCTCTCCTCATCCCGGGCCGGAGGACGGAGCGAGGGAAGAGGAGGAGGATGAAGAGGACGAGAACACAGGAAGGGTCCGGGTCCTAAAAGTGGGTCAGTGGCTTCTACATTACATCAACATTAAAACAAGCAGACTCCATGAGAAGCAATGAGACATGTTTATTCTCTTTCAGTCGTGGAGCAACAGGTCTGAGATTTGAGTTCACGTTGACAACTGTTACTCTCTAAAAATGCTGGGTTGTTTCAACCCCTAATTGGGTCAAATATGGTCAAATCCAACAGTTGGGGAAAAATAAAAAATGTAACTGTTGGGTTTGTCCATATTTAACCCAATTTGGGTTGAAAGAACCCAGCATTTTAAGCCAAACAGGAAACGGAGCATTTCCTACATCCACACACACACACACACACACACACACACTACGCCGGAGTGAGAAGCAGAAATACTGCTAATATACTGTATGTTTCCTACATGCACTTTATGCACATACTTTATGCAAATGTAACACTCTAAAAAAACTATCTATCATTAGAAAAACCTTAATTGCACATTTTTTAATTTTTTTTTTTACATAAACAGTTTTTTCTAACTGTAATTTTAAATGTTATATGTTGTCTTTTTTCCAGATGAATCCTGTAAACGAGTCTCTAAATGACAAACCATGGCATCCTTTAGATTTAAAATTCTTTACTTTGGCAGAAGGTGTAAGTAATAATAAACTTTTTAAAATGTGGTTTTAAAATGATTTTATATATATATATATATATATATATGTTTCATGATCAGTGCTCTGATCCACAGAATGGTCTGCTCAGGTCCGATATGATGTTTGCACAATTTACAGAGTTTTATGATTAAAACCTTTTATGATCTGAAGCCTCTTCATTAAAAAAAAAAAAAGATATATATAGCTGGAATAGATTTATTTCATTTTATTGTATTATCCCGCATCACACTGAGGGAATTTATTTTTATTTATAAATGAAAATGAAATGCTCGTCCTCTGATTGTCACATGAGAGTTGACTCTCTCTTATGAAAGTATGGTTATGATTAGCTACTGAAGATTAGAATAAATACTGTCATGAACACTGATATATGATGTTTGCTTAAAATATAGATCTGTTTTCATCATGAGATTGTAAAATAGAATTTTGTCATTGCATATAGAATTATGTGTTGACGGGTCACTCCTGGATTTTTACAATGCAATCAAATAAAAATCCAATTTTTGTATATTGTTTGTACTTGAAAACCAGTTTCGACTTTCCAACGAAATGAAGAAGCACCTGTAAAATATTAATAAACATTACAGACAGTGTGTGTGAGTGTGTTATAAAAAGGAAGCAATCTAAAATCTTTGACTGGACGTTTTATCTATTCTATAACAAACTGATTGTATTACAGCGCCACCTTCTGGTTATTCACAGTAATGATGAATGATGCTTCACATTAAATCATCTGAAATATTGATGAGATGACAATCTGGACAGTTAAATCATTTTACATATTTATAGATTAGCCTAGTTATTTAATTTCAATTTACTGCCTTAGAGATTGTTTCTGCTCACAGCATTGGTACTTTAGACCAAAACAAGCTTTCAGGTGAAATGTTGCGTTTCTGATTTGGTATCCCTGACATATAACATGAAAAGACCCATTTTGGTTAATATGTTCAAAAATATGATTTGTTTATAGCTACTAGCTAGCTTTCCCATTCAGCATTGTTGTGTAGGCTATAATCACAATCACATCATTTTCAGGTATGTTCCCTTACAGGTGTGTCCTGCCTCAACAATTATAGGCTAGTACCCAAATAGTTCCATAGTTCATAGCTTACTTATGGATCACTTTACATGTAGGCTACCATTACAAAGACAACCATGAGCCTGAGAGTCAATGTTATTAGTGTTAGCTTTCTAAAATCTGATCTCCCCTGCACTTTCTTCACTCCAACCATAGTAGCAAACTCATCTTGTCATTAAAAAATTGGATAATTAGCTGTTTGTTCATGTTGCTACACCTCCTCTGATTCCAAATCACGCGGGTAGCCGTGAATCACGCGACACTTGGACATCTAAGATGTGCTCCAGAGTTTGGTAAGGACTACCGTACCAGCAGATTGAACCCGTTTTCTTAGGTATGTTCATTTCTTCTGCACTTTTTCGCCTATTTGCAGCCAGTCATCACTTAAATACACATTTTCCCAAATCATTTTAACATTCTAGATGAGCGGGAAAATCCTAACGGCACTTCTCGCGCTGTTGAGTGTGTGAGGGTAAAAAGTGTTTTGTTTTGTTTTAATAATATTATGAAGCGATAATCTCACCCCACGTGACCCCAATGTAAATTTTAGCGCTTAAAAAGTACCATAGTACTATGTTTTAAACATTATACCATTGTAATACCATGGAAGTGCCATAAATACCATACTAGATAAGATTGTAATCGGTACAGTGAGTATCCTACCAACCATAGCCTCAATATGTAGCCTACGCCTACCTTACTGCTTTGTAAAGTCTGTCTACACAACAACAATCTGTAATATGTGTATTGTATTTAAAAAGCTATATGCTATATGCCAGTATAGGCTAATTAGTCACTTGAATGTTTCTAAAATGTTAAATTCTAGACTGGTTTGTGTGGAGCTAATCAATTAACGTTAAATACCACCACTAGATGTCAGCAGAATTCTGTGGCAAACTTAATGCTGAATTATCATGAAGATGAAAGATTTCGCCTGCTTCCATTAATCAGACCCCAAATGTGCCTGATCCCCTCCCCGGATCACATAATCTCTGAATCCCATCACCATTTCTACATGTCAATCAACAGCCATTTTTAGACTGAGTGTCTCGACACCTGCTCATGATGGCCCTGCTCCGGGACTCGTCAGCTCTATTCCTGCTCTATAATCACCCTGTACTCGTTAAGACCTCTTGTGTAGTGATTAAACAGGGTGTAAATATATGCTCTGACAACCATTCAAGTATGACTCTTCACTAAATGATGCCAGGAATTTGATTATATTCGATTTGATTATTTTGGAAGTCCTCCACATATTTACAAATATTTTAAAATAATTAATATTTGACAAAACAATAGACCATTTTGTTAAGACAGTGTCTTTTAGTATATAATCTAGCCTACGTTTTATTCTGGTAAGTTATGAACTGTCAAGACTAGTCTTAGCGGTTTATGCAAGTGGCCACAAGTTGATTTTACATTCATATTTCCACGCATCATAGTTTTTATAAGCGATTAATGCATTTATAATTATCATTTTTTTATTCTGCATTGGAATTTCATTGTCAGACTGAAGCATGACGGCACATTTCTGCATCTCTATTATAGATGTTGTACGGCGTCAGTCTGATATTGTATTAGTTCAACAGCAGCTTGATTTAGAAATATTGCAGGTTTGTTTTTTTGGCTTTCTTCTTGTCGTTTTAGGCCCATATGTTGTGTATTCTCTTTGCTTTATCATGGTAATTTCCACTTACCATGTGATTTGTGCTTTTAATTTGGTTCGAAACATCTGCTGAGAGCATAAACATTAAGAGTGATATTAAGGCATCAGGAATCATGCAGTCAGTAACAGATTGCTGTTAATCTCATCCCATGATCCCAGAAGTTTCATGTCTTTTGAAGGCTCCTGTGCTGTTTTATATGTGTGTGTGTATACAAATGCATATGTCTGTGTATAAATGACAGCACATGTCTGTGTTTTGAACGCGGTGTGCTGTCAGATGTGGCTTTCTCACTGTACATAGGGTTCAGTCTGGAAATAGTTCTGTTCCCAAAAGGCAAGTCACACCACCGAACACGGATAGCTCTCACAGACACTCGCACCAGTTAATTACACCTCGATTGTAGTTCTGCTCAGATCCTTGAACACTCACTGTGAGTGTCAGATCCAGACATTGCATTGCTCCACCTGAGCGCACCTTTAGTTTTCATGTTGCACAGATATGATGACTTTATTTGAGCTCATGCAAGCCAAACATAAGCTTTAGTTTTTTATAGACTATTCATCTTCCTTGACTAAACTTAATGTAACTAACATGAACTAACCTTGAGCAACATTTGTTTCAGTATTTGACGTTAGTCATTACAAATTCAGCTGTTCATTGTGTGTTCATGTTAGTTCACAGTGCAGTAGCTAATATTAACAAATGCATTGTTAATATTGTTCATTCTTAGTTCATATTAGCTTAGGTGAACCTTATTGTAAAGTGTTGCCCAAATAATGCATGCATTAATTCTTCTTAGATAGATACTCACTTGTTCTTCTCACAGAAATCTGATAAATGTGATGCTGGTGCATTTTATTCCGTCCAGCTTGAATGCACTACAGGTCAATGTTCTCTTTTCAATGGCGAGCTTGTAGAATAACACATTTATTGTCAACATTTTATTGTTGCACTTGAAAAAAACATTGATTTTGGCTTTTATATATGTGTCATACTGAGCTGCTGTCAGGAATTTGAGCGGATGCGAGCTGCTAGTCACCACAGTGATGCAATGAGTCTAAAACACTTCAGTGCCAGAGCCTTTCAGACACGCACTCATGTACAAAAATGAAAATGAAGTCTTGAGCATCATTTATTCACCTTCAGATCAGATCAGACTTCAGTGTGGCGAATGAGAAGCTGGAATAGTTGCTGTTTGTCATGCAATGAAGATGGATGTGTGTATTCAGCATCGTCAGTTATGAATGACTGTGCATTGCATTATATTTCAGGTGTAAAGCACATGCATTTTTATAGTCTATTTTTGTCTTTTCTACAGAGCTGGTGTTATTTTGTGCAGATACTGAAAGCTCATTGTGCGTTTCTCTGAAGAAAAGACGTCATTGGTTAGGAATGACACTGTAAAAACTGCAAAAGATATGGTAAACGCTGTGCGGTGAAACCCTGTTAAAACATTACATTTACAGTTTTTGGAAGTGAAAAAGAAAAAGTCATTATATTAATTACAGTAAAAAAACATAAACTGACATTCCCTGACACTTCACATTTGATGCATGTTAGTTGAAATAATTCGTTTTTTCGAATCCGTTATGTACATTAGGGTTTTAATGTTTATTAAATGCATGTGTGTCACCATTATGGTGTTCAGTGTTTGTGTGAATGACTGTGCAGCTTCTGTTTATTATTAGTATGAACTTTGTGATGATCTTTGATTGATCATGTGACTCGTAACTCTACTGTGATTGGTGGTTGTCAGTGTATTACAACAGTACAAAACGATATTAGTTATTTAATAGGTCAATAAATAAACATGATATCAGATTCTCATCCTAGGGCGTCATATACTGACGCTTTTTACAATGTGTCAAACGCACATGGCACCCTTTAGCGTCAATATAACACACTTTGGTTATGGTTAGGCCACTAGGAGGCGCCTTCTGGCCCATATATATCTGCGTCTCATATTGATGCTAAAGGGTGCCATGTGCGTTCGATATATATATGCATTGTCAAAAGCGTCAGTATATGACGCCTTGGGATGAGAAAGGGCTGGAAATACGTCTATTTACTGTAAATTATAAGTAAAATATTGCTACCGTATTTTTTACAGTAAATTTCGGACATTTTTTGCTATAAATTCTCGATTTTTTGCGGATTTTTTTTTAGTTTTTACAGTGCATGACTGAGAATGTGCACTTTCCCTTTAAACAGCGTTAGTGTTTGGGAGTTTTGAGCTGGATTTGGTCCAGGAGTGTGTGTTCGAGAGGGATCAGCCGTTTCAGGGTTTAATCTGAAGTGTTTTCCAGAGGGATGTCGGTCTGGTGTTGTGGTCAGAGTTTGGCGTTGGTATCTGGAAGGTTGCAGGTTTAATTCCCACAAGGACTGACCTATGAATTATCACCGTTGTGTCTGTTATCAAGACACTTAACCTCGGGCTACTCCATGGAGATTGACCCCATAATAAATTAATGGTGTGATGCTGTAGAAAATCATAGAGACAAACACTGGCTGTGGTGTAGGTTTAGATTCGACTTTATCACGGCTGCATTATCTGGTCTTGATCCTGTTGCTCGTTGATGAATGATGAAGTCTCTTCTGCTCAGCAAGGCTGCATTTATTTTATCAAAAATAGTAAATATATATATATATTATTCCAGTGTAAATCATCTGTTTTCTATGTGAATATACAGTAAAGTGTAATTTATTCCTGTGATCAAAGCTTAATTTATCATCATTACTCAAGCCTTCAGTGTCACATGATCCTTCAGAAATCATTGTAATATCATGATTTTAATGCTCAAAAAAACATGTATGATGATTATCAATATTGAAAACGTTGTGCAATATA